AAGGTTAGGATCCTTAAAAATAAGATTTATTGCTGTAATCAATGTAAAAAATTTTATTCAGTATTTCATAATACATTTTTTAACTGTGTCATGTATAATAAAAATAACAATACCCAAGACAGAATTTTTCTAAGATTAAACACAACAATAATTATTATAAAAGCCATATAATTTAAGATCCCAGTTAGAAACAACTGTAAAAATTTTTTAACTTCTGAGTTGACCCCGCTGGGATTAAACAAACTTGGGCTACACAAAAGCACGACAAGAACTACATCTTATATCTTGACAAGACATACTAACTAAAGACTGAACATATCCAATGAATCTGATGTGTAGGTTGTGGCTAAATATAATACATCTACCTTTTTCAAAATAAAAATTTTAATTGACCGAAATAAATTATTGCATTAGTATTTTTTACTGTCACAATCATTGATAAACACAATGTATTGCTATATTCTCATTAGACTAATAATAATAATTGTTAAGATAGTCATGTACCTGTTTGTTTGAGAACCATTTTGTTATCTTTATCATTATCCGTAGAAACACAATCATGTAAAGAAATTTAATACTCCTCATAGTTTTTGTAACATTTGATTTATGATTAAAATTAAAAAATTGAATTTTAAAAGTATGCTTATGTCTTTAAACAGAAACATTCCAACTAAACTTTAGTTACAATGTCTATATTGCATTGCTCGTTAGTACACTTGAAAAAAAAATGTAAGAAGATATTTATTACTAGGGAAACAAACGTCTGAAACATAGGTTGAAAATAATATTTTTGTAGCAAAATAAGCTAATAACATCTGGTTCTCGTGATCAAGTCTTTCTTTCACATTTGCGATTAGATCGACAAATAAAAGTAAAGCATATTAGATACTAAAGCTACTAAAAAATTGAAAAAGAAAAAGAAGAAAAGGTTCTACTATGAAAATAGTTAGCATGAATAATTTGTTGTTTGAAAAAAATTATTAATTTTTTAATAGGAAGAATTGTATTACATCTAGTTTGCGTGTTTTGTAAAAATCATGCATGTAGATAACAAAACTATCGCGCACCAAAAATTGAGAGATGAAGGTTAAAGACGTTTCTTTTTGAAAATGAAAACTTTATTTTATCAAAACAGCTAATTGGATCTTAACAGTTTCAGTATTTTGTCTATACTGAGGAGGACACCCACTTCTTTAAAAAATGAAATAACAATTTTTTTAAACATAACAACGCTCATTATTTACATTCGAACGCATTTTTCATATTTTTTACATATACAAGACAGAAAAACTTTGTTATATTTCACTTTAAACTATATGATCGATTAATCCGTAACTATGCAGATAACTCCATAGGACTTTCTGTAGAAAAATTCTAATTTTCTAAGAAATTCTTTATGAATTTATGTACGAATCTGCAGAGCTCCTGCAGTATTTCTTGCAAGAACCATTTGTACAGGAAGGACTTAAAAACTAGTAGAATCCATACAGGTTTCTCAGAACTAACATTTTTGATTATCTATGAAGCTCTTCTTACTACAGATCGAAGGATTTCTTAGACCTGTGATTTTTTATAAGGAAAAAAAAAAAAAAAAAAAAACCATTAAGTTATACAGATAGAGCCATAAATAATAGAACTCAAAATTTATATTTTTATTATTTCATCAACAACAACAACCTATGTACCATTATTTACAAAATATCGTACGTTTCTCTACTTTAACTATTACTAGGATAACTGAAAATATTTTATATTGACTGTCAAGACATTAAATTGCAAATACATTAACGTTAACAAAAATTATAGGATACCAAAAAATGAAATTTGAATCCTAACTTTATTCTTATCAGACTACATATGTTCGTAATTATCAAGTTATTACGTACAGTAAAATTATTTTTTATAAAAAGTTAAAAGAAATCTTTATTTTTAATACCTCGTCTTTCGTATTTTTTCTTCACTAAAATGATGGAGTGCTGGCCTCCTCCTGATACCTGTAGGACCGGCACATCTCTGACATATTTAGAACCGATGAAAACTGGCTCGTCCATTTCTTGGTCTTCCCTAGTTTCGAGTTGCCCCTCGGAACCCACTTCGCAGATATAGAGTTTTCCTAAAACATCATTGTCGAGATCATGTATCATCGAGTATTTTTAGCCATTAATTCTTATTTTATATACCATCATTAGTCGAGACTAAAGGGTTCTTACCAGTATCAGTGACAGCAAAACGCTGGGCAGTTCCAGCCGCCACGTCTATGCAGTTAAAATTATTGAGTGTTGGCACTGGCATCAGCTCACTTGTATCTTTGCATAAACTCCCAAGCCTCAAGTACCCGTATTATTTTTCTCCAATCACGTACACTTGTCCTTTTTTGTCTAAAGCGATTGTATGGTACGGCCCTATGCTAATTTAAATACATTATGTTTCGTGGTGAAAGTAAAACTTTATCGCATGAATTTGCAGATATGTTTAGAGTTTCTCAAGGTGAGAGGTAAAATAACACCACGAGCAAGTCCGTCAACAGAAAAACAGACTGTGAACAAGAAAACCGGAAAAGTAAAAGTCTTACCATATTACAAGTGTATAGACAAGCGATAGTTAAAAATATAGCTAGACAATAATATACAGTATTAAAAATAACGTTGATGTGTACTTCGAAAATAGATTAAGGAAAGTTTCCAGATAATGCCAAGATAGTACTTACATGAAAAACTGTACTACTTTACATTACACCATCTCATAAATCATAAAGCTAGGCTTTCTGAAATTTGGGACAGTACTTTTTAATATAGTCAGCTCCAACATATAAGTTTTTTTACAAAAATCTATAGAAAATTAAACAAGTTATGTGAAAATACGTATCTTTGGCAGCGAGCTCACGGTGACTTCTCCATAAGAATCCGTGTATAACAGAAAAACTTTAAGTTTTTTTTCTCAAACACAACGAAGCTAGTTCCTTTGAAATTTTAATATGTTATGTGTTGTGACGTTGAGATACCGGTAACGAGATGTTTTGTAAGCGCCTCCACCCAAACCGATCCTTTTTTTTTTTTTTTTTTTCCTAATTGTGCATCTGATCAATGTGCTTTTGATATTCGTTAGCACAGTCTCCTATTACTTGACCATCTTTACTTACTCTCTCCCTGTCTATCTCAGCGGGAATAAGCCGTTGTTATCATTTTCTTAAAGGTCTTCTTCTTCAGTAACTAGATTTAAGAAGTGCTCTCCTGCCCGATTCTTAATAATATGAGTGAATACTTCAGCAGCATTGAGAGGTCCTACCATGAGTTTTCTATTCATGTAGCAAGAACTTTTGACTTAAAAGCATTGTACTTCCCTGTTTTACCTGTTACCAAATACTTCATGCTAGGAGAATTCATCCCTGCAATAACAGTTGCCACTTGATAGAGAAACGGATAGAATTTTGAGCTCAGGACTCTGGTAAACTCTGGAGGCAACAAGATCTTGATTTAGCCTCTGTCATCTGCATCACGACTCCTCAGGAATGCTAACATGCGTTCTAGCATGCCTCTCTCAGTCAATGCAAATTCTGGGAAAGCGAAGATGTCAGAATTGTGTCTTAGAATGTGCTCTTCTATCATCCCTATGTGCCCTATCTCAGCCCAAATCTTATTGTGTATAATCACAGCGAATAGGTGTTTGTAATCACCAGTTGGATTCCTAGCAATCATTATATAGAGAGCAAACACCCATATTGGCAGCAACCATATTGGTCTAAGCCGCAAACGTGGATACATTGTCTAAACTCTTAATGAGGATTTATCAGTAGAAGATATTTTATTTATCTGATTCCACTATGTGTGCTGTCTATTGTATTTAAGGAGCCTGAGTAGAAATAGGTTCCATTAACCTTCAGACTGACAGGCTCCTATGGCCTTTGTAAGTGGCGTTACCAGGTGTTGTCCAGACGGATTCAGGCTATCGAAGGGTCCGGTTGCCATGTACTGACCATGCTCGGCCCTGAAGTTGTATCTTCAACTTAGAGGTTATAGCTTCTGCTCCGATTACTTCAAAATATCGTATACAAATACTTTTAAAGTAATAAACAAACATGAAAACCAAATAAATGATGTTGCTCATCTTAAAACTGAAGTTCTTTTTCCTCCTACTATTACTGTCAATAAAAAACCTCAAAAAAGCTCAGCTATTGAAAAAAACAGGATAGTTATGGAGTTCCAATGACAGGTAATGTACGTCAAGAAAAATTTGTCAAATTATTGTATACTAAAACTCTGATTGGATACAGTACTTTGGCTCTAGTTGGAGCCAAAGTCTTATTTACTTNAAATGCTCAACAACTCTTCATTGCTGATGCTATCAAGTCCATTATTTTTGCCAATAAATATAATTGGAAAAAAACTGTTTTAACATCGCACGATAACATTAAAACTATTTCAATAATATTGATGAATGTCGCTTTAAATAATCTAATGACTTAAAATAATTAAAAATGTTCTTGAAGTTTGTATTCCGTAATCTACGTGATCTAAAACTAGAACTATAAAAAATGTAATCAAATCTACTAATCTGTTCAAATAACAAAAGATTTCGCCTTACATTATAATCAATTTATCTTGTTCCAAAAGTATTTTAAATCATTGGATAATAACAATTATCATCAAAAGCTTTGTAAAAAAAAATTAGATTCATCAAACCATGCACAGATCTAACAGTTTGAACTTTAAAATGTCTAGAAACATCAGCATAATTATGATTAAATCTTTGCATTGGCATATAGAATTTATAAGAAAGAAATCTATGTTGAATTGACTCAAGTCTGTTCATATCAATATCAATAGTAGGTGTTCATATAATAGGAGCATAATTAACGCGTAAGAAAATAAAATTATAATACAAGTGTAAGACGTATTTCGTATTCGTATTTCTAAATATTCTTGTAGAACCATTAGGAAGTATTGAAAAACGTTTGATTGACCTTGTCCGAGAAGTAACAGGCTTAACTCAGCGATTCGTAGGTTTGGAGATGAAGTTGGAAGAGCCTACAAGTCCACTCTGACGTTGTGATATTGCAAGATTAAATCGATAATTACGTAATATCATTTTCTATTGAGACTCAAGAAAAATTCGTCGTGCTTGATACAAAATTAGAAAATGATCAACAATTTAAAGATGATTAGGTACACTTTGTTTTTGTACATTACTTTTTATTTATATAATCATCTGAACTTCCAATTTGATTTATAGCTGAAGTTTGTAAAGTCCCGTACAAGGATTACCAGTTTAGCAAAAGAAAACTTAACTGTTATTTTAAAAAGAACTGTGAGTAAGGATGGTCTGTTACAGTACACAGCTCAACTTGCCGTAGAAAGTAAACCTGTTATGTCTTCGACTAAATTTTTTGATTGCGTAAATGGCAATTATCTTGATTTTGGTTTGAAATACGATAAATAAGAGTAAACGAAATAAAACGTAAAATTCATTTATTTTTTCAGATAGAACGTTGAATTGTTATGCACAGCTAAAAAATAGTCAGATGGAGCATCCAAATCTCATTAAACAAGCTCTAGGGATTGCCATCAACAATTGTTTGGACTGGAATTTGTATGTAATAAAAAATAACAATTTTTTATATAACTTACGTTGTTCTTGCATGATTTGATTCTTAGCAGCTACGATATCTGCAAGTAGGTAGCTGATATATTATTTCTTTAATGTGTACTTAGCACCTTACGGGACTCCGTGGACTATGCTTGGCAACTGGAACTTTAGGAACCCTGAACCCGCCTGAAAACGCACCTGGTGACAGTTTGTATACTGCTCGAAAAGACTTCCATCAGGAGAGGTCTGAAGACCGAGCTTAAGGCACCGGACCTGGTCATGCTACTTGCCGGTAGGTGTATTTCTATTCGGGTAACCTACGAACTTCTCTAGTCCCTAGTTTCAACAAGAAATATTCTTCGATTTTATTCCGCAAATTCATATTTTGGCAATACCATTTAAAGGAGTATTAATTCAACAACATTTTTCTTTCGTTTTTGTCCAGCAACTTTGTCCCTGCACTATTGTCCCACGGAAAAAGTTTGTTTGTAGGTGTAAAAATTTAATTATAACATTAACGTATGCTTGTTTTCTTTAAATGTTATAACCCACTTTTTTTTAATTGGTCTGTACAATTCTATACACCAGGAACCCATTTAAATATTTTTCTGATTTTAAAAACTAATTAAACACTGGTTAACTTGAATGTTAATTTTGAACAAGAATAAAAAAAGTTAAGATTTAATGAATTGTAAAATAATACTTTTAACTAACAATAATAAAGTGTGTTTAAATATTATACGAGGTTCATCTTCTTCAAATTTTTAGGCATGACCAACTTATGGGAGTTCAAAAAAAAATTTTTTTTAACGCTTTTGTAAATATGTCTGCAATTATCTACAACTAGGGTGCTTTACAAAATTTCAAAGTAATTAGTGAAGTTCTCTTGAATTTAAAATTTATATTTTAATTTTGTTTACTTTCTAGACTAGATTAAGTACAAATAGCAAAAGTACTGATTCAAATTATAACTCTATTAATATCAGTGAATTTTTTCAGGTCTGTATTTAACAGTATGTTTTACGTCAGTGACGAAAGCCCGGCATCGACTCATATATAGGTGCTAAATACGAAGCAATAACACACCTGGAAGAAAATTAGTTTGTGGGATGATTGGAAGAAGAAAGGCCTTATACTTGCTTTACAGATTCAACAATACCTGAATGTCAAGCTTTTTGTTTTTTCGTCACTCTCCGGATATTATTTTGCAATTTTTCAGATCATCAATACAACTGTAAAATTTTTGGTCAGAAATACAAAGTTGATGTTTTCGTGTCTGGTTTTTTCGTATACATATTTCGTAGACTGTTACAGTAAAGCTAATAGAATGTTTTGCCAGATGCCAAATAAATGTACTAATTGAATCTATTCTAAGTACAATTTACTAATAAACGAATCCGTAAATTCGCACCAGCAAAACATGTACTATTTTTTATTAGTGTACATAAAGTCAAATATTTTTATATTAAGTAACTATTCAGCATTTTTATAACTAAGTTTTTCTTTGTTATAGATCCATTATTTTTAAATGAGATATTTACGGTACTAATACGTACTTAATAATTTATCAAAAATAACAATATTTAAAAATGCTCAACAACTCTTCATTGCTGATGCTATCAAGTCCATTATTTTTGCCAATAAATATAATTGGAAAAAAAACTGTTTTAACATCGCACGATAACATTAAAACTATTTCAATAATATTGATCATTTTGTTAAGAAAGAGCGAACAAAATCTTGTATTGAAATAGAAGATAAAACAAACTGTTACCACTAATGATACTGCAGTGACTCGTGTTAGTTCCTAGGCTGACGTTGTAACACTGCTTCTTGACCTGAAATAAAATGAGGCGCCGCTTACATTATAATCAATTTATCTTGTTCCAAAAGTATTTTCAATCATTGGATAATAACAATTATCATCAAAAGCTTTGTAAAAAAAAATTAGATTCATCAAACCATGCACAGATCTAACAGTTTGAACTTTAAAATGTCTAGAAACATCAGCATAATTATGATTAAATCTTTGCATTGGCATATAGAATTTATAAGAAAGAAATCTATGTTGAATTGACTCAAGTCTGTTCATATCAATATCAATAGTAGGTGTTCATATAATAGGAGCATAATTAACGCGTAAGAAAATAAAATTATAATACAAGTGTAAGACGTATTTCGTATTCGTATTTCTAAATATTCTTGTAGAACCATTAGGAAGTATTGAAAAACGTTTGATTGACCTTGTCCGAGAAGTAACAGGCTTAACTCAGCGATTCGTAGGTTTGGAGATGAAGTTGGAAGAGCCTACAAGTCCACTCTGACGTTGTGATATTGCAAGATTAAATCGATAATTACGTAATATCATTTTCTATTGAGACTCAAGAAAAATTCGTCGTGCTTGATACAAAATTAGAAAATGATCAACAATTTAAAGATGATTAGGTACACTTTGTTTTTGTACATTACTTTTTATTTATATAATCATCTGAACTTCCAATTTGATTTATAGCTGAAGTTTGTAAAGTCCCGTACAAGGATTACCAGTTTAGCAAAAGAAAACTTAACTGTTATTTTAAAAAGAACTGTGAGTAAGGATGGTCTGTTACAGTACACAGCTCAACTTGCCGTAGAAAGTAAACCTGTTATGTCTTCGACTAAATTTTTTGATTGCGTAAATGGCAATTATCTTGATTTTGGTTTGAAATACGATAAATAAGAGTAAACGAAATAAAACGTAAAATTCATTTATTTTTTCAGATAGAACGTTGAATTGTTATGCACAGCTAAAAAATAGTCAGATGGAGCATCCAAATCTCATTAAACAAGCTCTAGGGATTGCCATCAACAATTGTTTGGACTGGAATTTGTATGTGATAAAAAATAACAATTTTTTATATAACTTACGTTGTTCTTGCATGATTTGATTCTTAGCAGCTACGATATCTGCAAGTAGGTAGCTGATATATTATTTCTTTAATGTGTACTTAGCACCTTACGGGACTCCGTGGACTATGCTTGGCAACTGGAACTTTAGGAACCCTGAACCCGCCTGAAAACGCACCTGGTGACAGTTTGTATGCTGCTCGAAAAGACTTCCATCAGGAGAGGTCTGAAGACCGAGCTTAAGGCACCGGACCTGGTCATGCTACTTGCCGGTAGGTGTATTTCTATTCGGGTAACCTACGAACTTCTCTAGTCCCTAGTTTCAACAAGAAATATTCTTCGATTTTATTCCGCAAATTCATATTTTGGCAATACCATTTAAAGGAGTATTAATTCAACAACATTTTTCTTTCGTTTTTGTCCAGCAACTTTGTCCCAGCACTATTGTCCCACGGAAAAAGTTTGTTTGTAGGTGTAAAAATTTAATTATAACATTAACGTATGCTTGTTTTCTTTAAATGTTATAACCCACTTTTTTTTAATTGGTCTGTACAATTCTATACACCAGGAACCCATTTAAATATTTTTCTGATTTTAAAAACTAATTAAACACTGGTTAACTTGAATGTTAATTTTGAACAAGAATAAAAAAAGTTAAGATTTAATGAATTGTAAAATAATACTTTTAACTAACAATAATAAAGTGTGTTTAAATATTATACGAGGTTCATCTTCTTCAAATTTTTAGGCATGACCAACTTATGGGAGTTCAAAAAAAAATTTTTTTTAACGCTTTTGTAAATATGTCTGCAATTATCTACAACNTTATTCTGTAATTGAAGTATTTTGTATTATTTTGAAATGCTAAATTTAAATATTTTGTTGAAAGTTGAATGAAATATTTCCCAATTATTTATGATATAGTGTTCTGTGTGCATAGATCAAAAGTAAAAGAATAATGAAAGAATAAAAAAATGTATAAAATTTAATCATGGTGCCTTATGTAGTTATCTGCAGAAAAATAATATTTTACTCAACGAAGTGATCATATGTTTTATAAACACATCGTAATGACTACACAAAATTTATGTACTACAATCTTAACATAAATAAGTACGTTAAACTAATAATTAAAACATAAAAATTAATGTAACCTTTTAGAATTCAAAATTATTTTTTATTGAATTTTTTTTTTTTTTTTTTACAAAAGTAATGATAAATAATATTAACGAAAAGTTTTAAAACCTTATTTGGCTCTGCAAATATATACTGTAGAGCTTATTGTAATAATTATTTTTTAAGAAATCTTGACCAGATGTTTGTTATAGCGTATTTTATTACATGACTTTGTCTCTTTTTCCGAAATACTGACACGTTATGAAGGATTACAGATTTTTCTTTTACTTGTATCTTAAACGTACACACAAAAATACGGTGTGGTAGAAAGACACAGACTTGTCAGTTTTGATATCAAATTCAGCTTCTTTTTTTTTTGATTCTTTGAATCTATTTTAGTTAAAAAACATATTGTAATTTCCAATTGTTTTTCAATTTTACATGAATCTAT